TTTTTTTTTTTGCACACTCTAAAGTCAGTTTCAGTCGCTTTGTAACAGCTCTCAAGCACCCGCTATATATATTCCCATTAGAGGGCGGGCGGGCTGCTAGGATTCTGCTCTCCATAGAGAATAAGGGTCAGTTTGCATGTTGTTTGGTGGCGTTCTTTGTGCCTCTTTGTGATTTATGTGCCTCTGTGAACTTTGAAGATACATTTCTCCACAATACCCATAGCTACAGAGGTAATCGAAGGGCTTGCTCTAAATTGCTGTTATAAACTCTTCAATGGGCAGAGTCTGGGTGCAGGTTCACATTAGTGCTGTCTATAGGAGACGCACAGTGCCTCATAATGCTGCAAGTGACATAAAGGCTTAGACTTTGGAGCGACAGGATGTCATTGGTGTATAGAGGACAGGTGCTCTTTAAAGGGGAGGGTACGACCACTGTGTTCCGGCAGAAAAAAAAAAAAAAATCTCCTTGGATTTCGGCCCAGTGAACGCTGATTAGAAGTTACAGCGCAAAATGCAGACAGCGGGCACCTTGTGACTGGTGGCACAATGTCGCCATTGTACGCTGTGTCGCTGCTTCTCTGCTGCTCTGCTGACATCTTGTGGTGAAGGTTGGTACATATTGAAGTCTTTGTAAAACAATAAGGAGTTACGTTCTATGATGTTGGTGTTTTGGAGACTCTGAGCTTTTGACCCATTGAAGGCTTATGTTATCTTCTTCTCCTGGCAGAGACGCCCCGTCTGGATTTTGGGACAAATCTAGAGAAGCAATATTACGTCATGCACCACTCCATCACTCATAATGGATACCTCTACAAGACCTCGTCCATGGCTAAACCGGTCACTGACAGGAAGGCCAAGGAAGGTAAGTCCAGAGGGCCGTCCGAGGGGGACGAGGGACATCGATTCAGTGGAAGAATCGGGGCCTGGTTTATACTTCCTTCCCTTCTAGGCCAAGGGTGTGTGTGTCATAGTGCCGCTATATAAATCGACTGACCGGTCTTAGTGTCATGCTACAAGATCGGACACCATCTCTCCCATTGGAAGGTTTACCCTCCTTTCCTGTTCCGGTAACAAAATGATTTCCCGCCACTTTGTGCTCTGATGACCCCCAGGATAAATAGAGGGAGTGATTCTCCCCAGCGGTAGCGCAGCAATAACAACCTGAAGTTTACAATACTTACCGACTCCATCCAAAGCAAAAAATATATTTCTATATCTGG